AATTGATGAACGATTATTTGATTTAATTAATTAAAAAAAAACTACTCCACTAGCTCATGAAAGAGCATTTTGATCGTTTCTTTGAAGGTTAATTAGTAAAGAAAATCTAATTTATGAGATAATAATTATTAATCGAGAGAAAAAAATTAAGCTTTCTTTTTCTTATTCCTCTATATCAAGGAAATTTCTTTTTTATTAAAGAAAAGTCCAAAGTACGTATTGATGCTTCCAATACCGACTTAAATTGTCACTTAAAACTTTAGATAAAGTACAATCATTCTCAATCTAAGACAATCTATCTTTCAATTAAATACTAATTCATAACATAAAACATTTTTATTCAAGGAAAAAATAAATAGAAAAGTGTTACAAATGCCCCAACTTTTTGACCCTTTAAACCTAAGTAATCTCTCATGCTATACAAACAAAAGGTATTAGTATTAAGTTGTGGTGAGGTGAATGAAGTTGCTCGTCTTTTAATTAAACATTTTGGATTCAAGCCTTGTGTATGAAAAAAATCATGATAGGAAACGCTTCTCACCAATGAAGTCCAGATTTGATATCATACGTTTCACACTCCAAACTTACATTTATTCTCCGATTTTGACCTAATATTTTTTCAAAGGGATCTTTACATATGTAAATGCAAGACAAATTTACTATTTATTTTTTCTAATCAGTATACATAGATTATATACTACACATATATTATCATACATTTATTATATATGAATCATAATCATATATCCATCGATTATTTTTAATTTAATTAATTGATGAACGATTATTTGATTTAATTAATTAAAAAAAAACTACTCCACTAGCTCATGAAAGAGCATTTTGATCGTTTCTTTGAAGGTTAATTAGTAAAGAAAATCTAATTTATGAGATAATAATTATTAATCGAGAGAAAAAAATTAAGCTTTCTTTTTCTTATTCCTCTATATCAAGGAAATTTCTTTTTTATTAAAGAAAAGTCCAAAGTACGTATTGATGCTTCCAATACCGACTTAAATTGACACTTAAAACTTTAGATAAGGTACACAATCATTCTCAATCTAAGACAATTTATCATAACATAAAACATTTTTACTCAAGGAAAAAAATAAATAGAAAATTGCTACAAATGCCCCAACATTTTGACCCTTTAAACCTAGGTAATCTCTCGTGCTATACAAACAAAAAGTATTAGTATTACATAATATGTGACGCACTGAATGAAGTTGCTCGTTTTTTAATTAACGATTTCATATTCAAGTTTTGTGTATGAAAAAATTCATGATAGGGAACGCTTTCCACCAATGAAGTCCTATGCAATGCGAATTCAAAATAATCGAACTCCAACACAAATATTGAATGAAAAAAAAGTATTACGTAAGATCTATTGGTTTGGGGTGGGTGGGGGTGGCCGAGTGGGGATGGGCGTGGGGGGTACGTGGGGGTTTATTTTGTCTGCCTTTTTTTTGGATGATGGTACCAAAAGCCAGCTTTGCACTATCAGGTCCAGTCAATATATAGTGATATATATAATATTAACAAAAAAGTTTCTTTTTATTTTTAAATTATTATCAAATAATTTAATCCATAATAATTAATAGAATGGGAAAAGTTATTAAAATGTTATCATGAAGTATATACATGTGACAGGATAACTAGTGATAGGATTCGAGAATTGAGTATGAATAAGAATCTGGTTAAAGAACATTTTTTTTTTAAAACAAGTCTTATTCAACATAAATTTAAATTAATCAAAACCTTATATAGATATCGAACTTGTGATGAAATACTTATCGACCATTATAGCAATAGTGCTTGTGAGGTGAATGATTGATCGAATATGTCCAATAACGTGCATTGATTATATTCATCAGAATAATATCACATGGATCGTGTAAATAAAAAAAATTTAACTAGTTGATTTTTTTAATTTAATTTTTTTGTTTCATTGACAGGAAATAAAAGGTTTCAAACGTAAAAGACAAGATCCAATCGTAACACTATTTGTCTTGTTTAACTTAAAAAGTTATCTTATCTTTAAATTTCTCAAATAAAAATAAAAATGATAAGGTATTATATTTTCTCTCTTGAAAAAGTTAAAAAGATGTAGAATTTAAAGGCATTATATCACAGTGTAGAAAACAAAAAGCCAAAGAATTACATTCTTGTGAAACTTAACAAAATATTTTATAATCACAAATGAGTATGTATTTTAATATATTTATTTTAAAAAGGAAATAAGAAAAACAAATAAGGATACTTGAACTAATTTTCCTTTACAAATTTTTGGTCCGTACTTCTTTTACCTATATACCAACATAATAATAAGGAAAATAAACTTTATACATAATCATAAACATCCTTGTTTTTGTTCGGTGTTCAATACCTTTCTTAACTCAATTAATTTAAATTTGCACCTAAAAAATCTTACTTTAAGAATAAAACTTCTTACTATCAAAATCAATTCAGTTTTCAACTGTAATATTTAATTAAGGATAGATAAATATTTACCATTCCATCATAATATCTTTGGCATTAAACATTCATTAGATGAACATCGAGCGAATAATCACCAAGTAATATAAGTTTTACAAAACGCAAATAGTTTAAGACTAATGATATTCGCAATTAGTAGATGTAATTAGTACATATCCATGTTGTGTTGAACACACATTAGAGAAGAAAGCTTTCCATATCGAAAAGTTGTTTATTTTCAGAATTCAAAAACGAAATCTCTATTTATAAATGGAAGAAATCTTATCCATCCCTCATAGGCATGCAGTCGAATAAAAAAATGTTTTTTAAAAAAATAATAATTAAGGGGTTAATTGATATTTTCTGATATTAGAGGGGGTAAAAATGCAATTTATATTTTCTATTTGTGAAACAACCCACATGCTGGGAAGTGGTCTCTCAATCATTGACCACTCACGAGGCATGGTGGTAATGGGCAAAATTGAAATTTTAATTTGACACGAAAAGAGTTACGATCGAAATAATTATTTTATAAATGGTTTTTATTTATTTATCGATCTTTTAGATCACGATATACAATTTATTTTCGAATATATTGAAAGTGACCATTATCTAAATGAGTCATATTTCACTAATTTCACAACATTCTTCAACTTTTATATATAAATATATATATATATATATATATATATGTGAACTAAGATTGTAGCATTAATTGAGAGAAAACCCTAAACAAAATATCCTTGTCTGCCCTTTGCTTGTTATCTTCTTGTTTTTGTGGCTATAT